ATGTGGATGACAGGTGTAGAAGTGCTGTAACCATTGTTGTTGCACATACAAAAGTAGGACCAAGATACGATCCGAACGGAGGATCTTACTGATGGTTGATCAGCAAGAGACCCGACTGTGGATGCGTCCCTCTTGGCGCCACCTGTGGAGCTTGGGAATCCGAGATCCTCGGGCTTGGTCTCCCTCGCCCCTTCGGCGGCACTCTCTCTTTCTTGTCTCTCTCTTCTGAGACCCTCTCCTCTCTAAATCTCGACGAAGAGAACTGCCAGCCTTAAGGAGTGGGAAAAGACTACTGCGACCTGGGCCTTCCCCCCTAACAAGGGAAGCCTGGGTCCTCACGCCTGCTGATAGCATGAAGCAGACAATTCAAGCCCTGGGTGCCAAGTGCCAAAGCTGATTCCCCACCGAAGCCGTCGTACTCTAGAATCCCCATCAAGTGGCTCCTCGATTGTCGAGGGGCCATTTGATACGGATCATCAAGACAACAGCTGGCGGAGGGAGCGTGGTAAACGGGGCACGAAAAGGACGTTCTCAAGATATTCCTGTAGAGATACAGAGAGACCTTCTTACCCAACCTTCAGGTTGCCCCGTGCCCCCTTTCATTCTTGGGCGAGGTGATTATTCCGGATTTTCCCATTGTAGCGCTTTCCACCCAAGCTTAGACTATAGATGGACAAGGGACACCTTCGCTTAACCTGCGGTATCCTTCCGATGTTCTCCCTGTCATTTCCCTCTGACTCCTCCCCTCTACAAAACACCCGCACAAGACGATAGTTCTCCCCGTGTACCCCGGCACCCTCCATGTCGAGGTGTTCAAACGTGGAGACAGTGATGCCATTCTTTGCGAGCTAAAACAGGTAAAGAGGATGGGCCAAAACCAAGAGTCGATCTAGCCTTAAAGGTGTCAAAATCGTGGCACATTCGTGAGACAGTGGTTTGTCTCCAGGTTGTACCGGAACGGCGCCAGTGGCGCTTGAGAGGAGTCGATCTTGTTGTCTCGACGCTGATGAGCCCTGCGACTGGCTTGGCCAAGCCTCCTCTACACGCCCATCCGTGCGCTTGTGTGACAAGTGGTGATGGCCGAAGAGGAGACCCTTGTACCAAGAGGAAGAGCTGCGGAACATCGTTCCCATCACGGTGTCTGTTTCCGATCACCCCACGACTATCCTGACGGTCGCGCAATTACCAGGGATGTGCTCATTACTACTCTGTGGTGCTCCTACGCGTCGTCCGTCGACGGTAGTTGGGAGCTCGTCATGGTGTACCAGCTTGATAGTTGGTTCCCACCCCAAAGGCCAAAGGCTCCGATGAGGTTATGAGGCTGGCAAGACCGCTAACGGTCTACGAGCGTCGGCATTATACAACCGATGGAGGTCGGGTGCGGGCTGAACGATACATCAGACTTGAGAATAGGGAGCAGGCATCCGAAAGACCCGTAAGCAGCAACCATGGTATTTCAAAAGTTGGGGCAACTCGCGGTTCGATCACCGGGCAGGGTCTTGGGCGACGTGCCGTCGGACATCCTTCACAACGCCGTCTACCCCGCCGTTCACGGTGCCGGATCCCTTGAGCACGGCCGTAGGTGCTGCCGTCGGACGTCCTCCGCACCGCCCACGCTCCCATACGTAGTTCCAGAAGGGGTGAGCACGATCGCGTAGGTGGGGCGGCCTTACCTAGGGCAGTGCTCACGTCTTTCTGGGACATGGTATGGGAGAGGCCTAGGGCAGTGCTCACGTCTTTCTGGGACATAGTATGGGAGAGGCTAGGCGTTGCGGAGGACGCCCGGCGCCACGTCGCTCAAGACCCTTGGTGGTCGAACCACGTTAAATAGCTTGTGCTGCAGTCGGACGTCCTCCACGACGCCGAGGCTCCCATACTTCGTTCCGGACTACTGGAGCACGGTCGTAGGTAAGGCTTACCTTCGACCGTGCTGAATTTTTCTGGAACAACGAATTGGAGGGTAGGCGTTGTGGAGGACTCCCCGTCGCTCAAGACGCTGGTGATCGACCCACCACGAGTTGCCTAACTCCCGCTTTGTTGCTGCTTCCGGGCCTTATTTTGTTGTTACTTTAAACACTAAGAGTCAATGCCTATCCATCCCCACAGCTTCGAAGTCTGACGTGTCGGCAATCTCGCACGGGCCGACCTCCTCGTTGTTCGACCATCCGCTGTAATAGTATGTCGTCGTTCGTAGGGCGGCCGATGGCTGATGAACGTGCTGACAAGAAACCCTCCGCCTCCAAGCGCTCCCACAATGGTAGTGGCACTGGTGCTAGTGCCGGTACATCTGGTACCCTGTCGCTCACGTCAACTATCGGTTGTCCCCACATTCGCTCAAGGTCTTTGTGCGGTGTGTGTGGTGCAGAGCGCACCTAAATTCACGCTCTCTTGAGAAATGATTCTAGAGTGGTAAACGCACGATATGGATTGTGTGATTTCGTGGGCAGTTGGGGCGCTGTATTTGTTGGCTTGTTCTCCCTGCTTATGTTTGTGTGCGGTTAACTTGACGATGGGAAATGTGACGGCCTTTGTCGAGGGAGGGAGGCGAGACAATCACGGCCGACTTCTTCAACGAGTCTACGACGAACATGAACTTTCCACCACATAGAGTATCGACCGTTCATGGCCAGGCCGGCACGTGTTCGTGAATCCGCCGAACTCGCCTTGGAACGGTCGATACTCTAAGGCTGACAAGTTACATTTGTCGTATAGACACGTTAAACATGTCGACTGTCAGTGCTCCACCTCCCGCGGGAGTGGCGGTCACTGTTCTCATCGTGCATTTTGCCTCGCACAAGCACCAGCACCCGCGATAGACGAGGGGAGCACCAGTGAACTCAAGCTGCTTCCGCGCTACAATTATTGACGGTACAGTTTCGCTTAGCACGAATGTGGAAAGTCATTCGTTGCCGGGATTCGAATTCCCGAGCTGGACACTAGAGCACCACCTCAAGCTTTTGACCGTTCTCGCACGAGCAGCTCCCGGTGCTTCAGTCACCCGTCGCACGGTGAATTGCGTCGGCGGGTACCTTCCGGTCGACGAACCCTTCTCTAGTGAGTGTGTTTGCCATCACGGCTGGGACAGGCACGGTTCAATCATGCCCAGCTTTTGCCCCCCTCTCCTTGCCCTCTCCTGCTGTTGCTCTCATGGAGCCTGGCTGGGCCGGACATGGCGCGTGGAGCAAGCGAGGGAGAGAGATCCGCGGACGCGTGGATGTGGGGGGGGCATCGCCAGCGTTTCTCGGAACCCCCCGTCTAGGGACCCCCCCCAATAGAATTTCGAAAGTAGGCGTATTCCCCTTTCTTGGGTTGTCCCATCGTTCCCGATACAGAAATGGCCATCACCCCCAGTACGAGCTCTATTGCGATAATGATCTTGCGGTTTTCCCGGCCTTAGGTGGTAAGACGGGTCACCAGACGGCGACTACGGGTTAGTCCTCGTCGAAACCATCCTACAATACCACCGTCGCCGTTTACCCCACAAAATTGTCGTTTTTACTGCACCGCAACACTGCTGGTGTTCCCCACGCCCGCCCCCCAACAGGCACCGGCAGTCACTCCCAAGTTTTTCGGGCCGTGGAGCGGGCCACCGGGCGAGAGGTGGCGGTGAAGGCCGTCAACACCGACACCGGGGGTTGGCCGGACAGGGACCGGCGCCACCTCAGCTTCCTGCGGGAGGAGATCTCGGTTCACCAGGAGGTGTCGGGGCACCCCTTCGTGGTGGATCTGTTGGGAGTTTTCGAAGACCCGGAGGCGTGTTACATCGTGGAGGAGCTCGCCCACGGGGGCAGCTTGCTGGACCACATGCACTCGCGCGCGAGCATGGGGACGGAGGGAGAGGTGTGTGGCGTCTCGAGTTGGTTGAGGGAGATCTGGTGGCAATGGTAGCGCATTAGTTTTCAGGCGTTTGAACTCACGTTGTTGGGACGGGGTTGGATCGCTGCCGGTGGTTTTCAAGCGGTTTGTCCGTTTTGTCTTGTTAGTGAGACTTGTTTTGATCGATCCCAACAGAAGGTTGCTCGTCGTCGATGCGGCTTGCCGTTGTCGTCGCCTTTGGATTGAACAGAGCCGCATCTCCCTACTGCCCAGCAGACTGTATCTTGCTACACGACTACCATTGCCACTCAGGCCGTCGTCGTCTTCTTCTCCTTGTCGCTGGAGAGCCAAGGTTGTCACTTGTCGAAAGGGCCACGCAGTGTTGAGTGTTGCCCTTGTGCGTCGTCGTTTCGTTGTGTGCCTCCATTGACTGGCTTGGGGGAAAAGGTGCGGTTACTTCTTAGGAGGTTGCTGGAGGCGTGCGGCTTTCTCCACCACAGACGAATCGTGCATCGAGATATCAAAGTGAGTCATGCTTGTTGCGTTTCACAGCGGTGTACTTGCTTTCATGTGAGCGTTTGTTGATTGACCATCGACTGCGCTAGCTGACTGACCAGTAAGCAGACGTCAGCCTTTCTGTATTGTTGGCATGGTGTGGCCCGCTCGATGCAGCCCTTCGTAGAGGGGAAGGCGTCATTGTTGGCGGACATGAGACCGAGATCGGGGGGCAAACGGGAGACCCACCCGCGAGTAAACAGAAAGAAGACACATGCTCTTGGGTGTGATGTGGTACAATGCCGTATGTTGTCCTTGCTTTTCGTTGCCAGGGTTGGTACAGCATTTCCAGGGAGAACAGCAGTAAAGAAACACAACCCTACAGAGAAAGCTTGCCCGACGCCAGTTGTCTCCGCTCGCGCAATGCTCAGTTGCCTCGCCTCTGACCCCCCTCCCACGCACGCCACCGGCCAGCCGGAGAATATCCTCGTCATGGACGACGGGGTCATGCACTCCGGCAAGCTCGCGGACTTCGGGTTCGCCCTCAGGCTCGACCCCTGCCCCCCCCCGATGATCGCCGTCGGCACCCCCGAGTACATCGCGCCGGAGGTCCTCCTCCAGCAGCCGTTCGACGGCCGGGCGGACGTCTGGTCGGCCGGGGTCACCGCGTTCTGCCTGCTGTCCGGCGCCCTCCCCTTCCGGGGCCTTACCCTCGACAAGCTCTACACGGCGGTTCTGGACGGCGCCTGCTCGTTCACCGGGTCCGAGTGGCGTGAGGTCTCCGCTCCCGCCCAGGACTTGGTCCGGAGGATGCTGGTGGTGGATCCCGCGCAGAGGTGGACCGCGGGGGAGTTGCTGGAACACCCGTGGCTGTCGGGGACGGCCGGGATGGCGGTCACCACGCTCAGGCTGGACCGGCGAGGGAGGGTCAGGTTGAAGGCCCTGGTGCTGGCCGTTGTGTTCGTTCAGAGGCTGCGGAGGGGGCTCGGGAGGCCTTGGCCGTCGCAGCAGGAGTTGGGCAGCCCGTGAAGCGAGCAAATACCGGACCGGGCAGGCGTGGCGTTTGTGTGTGTGTGTGTGTGTTTTTTTTTTCATTTTTTTTAGGTCCAAATTTATCTGTTTCGGAGGGGACGTCAGGATGGTAGAAGCCGCGAGGGCGGGGGTACGGTGTGGCGTTGTTTTGCTTCACGCAGTGCTGCACGGTTGCAGCTTGAAGTGGGCGGGAGCCCGCGATGTACAAACAAGTAAGTGTGTCCTTGACGGGAAGCGAACTCAGCGCGAAGAAGGTCGAGGTTGAAACGTTTTTGTGTTAGGCACTTGTGCGTGTTTAGTCAATGGCGTTGTGTGTGTGGAGTTTAGGATTGTTTTGGTTGTATTTTGGAAGGCTCCGCCGATGGCTTTCTCGCGGTGTTGAGGCCTTGCAGTACCATAGCTTTTTATCTGCCCGCAACGCGGCGGACTGTCTTGTTTGTTTTACCTCCAACAAGGCCGGAGAAGTGTGCTTTAGAGAAGTGGTTTGGTAAGCGTGGACGAGGTGGTACGGCCTTTCACGGGGCCTAGGTCTCTACCCCCAATGCTTGAAAGCGTCCTCCGGTCGTCAAGCGTGATGTTCAAGGTGCGTGGGATGCGCCAGTCTCGTTTCGAAAGCCGTCTTGGGACTCCTTTTTTGGCTGCGTTTCAGCTGCTCCGTTCCCACCACATAATACGAGACGCGGCTGTGGAGAGGACGATTGCTTTCTGTTGCCGTTCGATCGGAGCGGGAGGCTGTCGCGTGTCGTTTTTCAGCGATACCAGCCAACCCCTCATGTCACTCCTGACGCTATGCGCCCTTGGCGTTTGTGTGTGTGTCTGCCCACGGCGTGCCGACCTAGAAATTACCAATGGTTTCAGAGCCTCGGCATTGAGGGAGTAGGAGCCGTGGAGCGACCAAGTGTGTATCGTCCCCAGGCACGATGGTGTTTCGCTCTGTGGAAGGCGTGTCGTCGGGCGGGCTGTAGACTATGTTGTCTGTTCATTTTTGTTTTGCGGGAAAGGAGCGGCAGGATTAGAAGCACCACTGCGTCGGTATGGCGTTGGCCTGTTCTTCTTTAGCGCTGCTGTCGGAACGTCGGGTACCGCCGTGTTAACTAGAGCTAGGGCTGCTAGGTCATCGCGTGGTTGTTGCTTGTAGGCGTAGACTCTGGGCCGCTTTTACGTGGACGGTGAATGCAGCAGACCGGAGGGCGGGCGGTCCCGTGTCCTGATCGTCGTGTCCCTGTGTGGTGTTTCACCCGGCAATGTTGCGATTCTGTTCCGTTTTTTTCGGTGTGAAAATTGTGCACGGTGCCTTCGTGTATGTTGGCCCAAATGTAATACATTAGTAGTTGTTCTACGACGATCTCGGGTTCTAATATTAGTATAATCTGATGTGGTGGAAGGCTAAGACTGGCTTGGTGGACTCAGTGAGGTGACCCGGGGTCTTGTCGTTGCACGCACCTATGCTAATGCTGCTCTGAACCATCGTTTCTTTCGCGTGGCAATATTGCGGGGTGGGTCGTTGTGTAAGTCCTCACAAGCTTGCTATGCATAGAGGCGTGCACAATGGGGCAATATCCCAGCACGGGAAAGGTCGGGCTTCAAATGTGCATAAAGGACTAGACTCATCTGCTAACAACCGCGCGACGAAACGCCTGTAGAGTTGGATTCTATTCGATTGGTTCTTGTTTTCACCGCGGGGCGCCAGTCTGCGAGCGTACGCAGCCGCCCGGACGGGGGCAGAGCGAGATAGATGCGTCGCAGTAAAGACCGTGCGTCTCGTGCTTGACTAGGCGGCGGATGGATCCTGTTGAGTCATGGGCTTTTCATCTCGCCGTCCTCGCACCGTCGACCGAGGGAGCTACGCACATGCTGCTACCATCTTCCCTTTTCTCTATGTACCCCCGCGAAACGAGAGCCAGGATTGCGCCCGCACATCTCTATCGACTAGACTAGACGAGCCCGCCGCTTTCGACTTGAATTGGCACAACGCGCTGTCCGTTGGAGATATCAGCAAGTTACGTGGGTACGATCTTTCCCTCGTTGACTCCCGGCATCTTCCCCATGATGAGCACCCCGAGCGGGTCCAGCGTTGCGGCGGGCCCTCCCTCCCGCCCCGTGCGCTTTGACTTGGCCCCCTTGTTCTCGCCGAGGAGATCCTTGTTCTTGAATGGGTCCCACGGGACGTGGCTATGACGAGAGGCGCGCAAGAAAGTTTCCGCAGTTTCCAAACGAAACGTAATGTTCAAGGTATGCGACCATAGATCCCGTGGGCAAATGCACACATAGCAAGGGGTGAGAGGCGACAAGGTTTCCCCGGTCATCGTGATGATGCATGTGCTGCGGTGCACCATACCTCTGAAGGCACAGTCCATCACATTATTATTCGCAGCTGGAATGCTTTCGTCGAAGGACCTTACCTGTCGACGTGGTCCGGCATGGAGTCGTCGTATGCCCTCTTGCAGAACATGCAGCATCCCGATAGCATCGACGCAAACATGAGGGCGGACAGACCCATGATGACGAAGGCGTGGACGATCACCTGATCGTTTTTTCCAAAGGTTGTGTGAGAACAACGATGACGTCGTCGGCTTCAAGGAAGTCAACGGCGCGGCGAAGCACTTGTACGAATTCTTCTGCAGTCAAAAATCGCACGTATTTCGACAAGAACGTCCCACAGAGACTAGAATGATCGCACGCCTTGTTAAATTTCGTCAGCCGACTGACAAAGCACACACTAATCACCTAGATTCCCTGATGTCGCCAAACTGACTCATCATCCTTCATCGCGGGGCGTGCTTACACTTCCAAACGATCGTGCTGCTGGTAGTGCATATCGAACATGTCCACCCATATCGAATATTTCCACCCCCCATGGTGTGCGAGCATGCTCGATTTGTCTCGACGAACCTTGTCGGTCATGTGCATCTCAAGCTCGAACGCGCACCCCCTCGCGCCTTCTAAGACGTCCACATCGATGTCCATGCATTGACCCATCGGATAGTCGTACTTGCACCCGCCAATCTCAAGAAACACCGCCGTTTCGTCCACATATTGAGAGCAAAAATAATTCGAATCGTACCAATCATCCTGGGATGTGGACGTTTGAGACCGAGGAAGGGAGGACATGCGCGGGTGCTGACCTCTTGATGGTGCAAGGGCGAGGGCGAGGAATTCGCTGGTTGGCACCAATAACGGAAGACATCCGTTGACACGGTAGACGTTCTCTTGATGCGGCTGTTTCAGCAATAAATTAGGAAGAATTGCGGCCATAGCCAAAAGTGACAACATAAGTGCTGTACAGACACTAAAGGTGGATAACCGTTATCGCTCCTCTTTCTCACCTCTGCGCCGCAAACGTATCTCCTATCTGTGCCGAACCCGACCTGATTCTCACTGAAATAGCTCGGAAAGCCTCGAGCATCCCCCTGCAACAGCAATCGGTCCCCGCAGACACCAGAGCGAGTTTCGTTTTTTTTGCTCAGAATCATGTGGTGTCTACTAGCCCTCAACTAAAGTACCCTGTCGGGTCGTCGAGGCGCAGATTATGGCCGCCCCTGTACACCCATGTGAGACGGGTCGGCCAAGAGAAGATGCATTCGCAACAAGAACTCGTTGAGCAACCCTCCAAGGAAAATACTAGCCTCCCTGTCGCTTCCGAAGCGAAGAGAGCTTCTTGGCCTAGACGCAGACGCGTCCTAACGGTGAATACCGCCGTCTTGAACGTCAGGTCTGCATGGGTGACACGACATCCGTTTCTTGCACTCACGTATCACGTTGTCTGTTCTGTCGTTTTTCAATTCGAAAGGGAAGAGTCTTTGCCACCTGAAACCTAGACCAAGAGGAATCGCTGGCACACCTCCGAGCCCCCCCCCCGCGCGCTCCTCACTCAAACTCACAGTTTGATTCGCGCTCGGCATAACGCTCTCCTCGTCTACGATATACCCAACATTGCTCTGTGCTGAATTGGAAGAAATTGACGGCTTCGTAGACCTCAAGAGTGAGACCCCCCCGCAGCACGAGCAGGCGCAGCAGCAACCACGATCTGCCGCGCGCTGTGGATAGACAAAAAGGAAGAGGGCCCTCTTCATCAAGCACCATCTCACCGTGCACCGCGTTGGTGGCCCGAAGCCACAGCACACCCCGTCCTGCTCGATCGTGACCAGCCTCTGGTAGTACTTGGTGTAGTCGAGGGACAAGTAGACGTAGGATCTCCACACCAGCATCATGCCAGCGTAACGGTCGGAACGAATGTATCCTACACAATCGTCCAGAGAGTTTACCACGGGCTCCTACCGTGTATTGTAGATGTAAAACCGGCGGCGGTTTCGTTAGCTCTAGGGTGGGCGGCAGACAGGTAGTGTGCCTTGGCAGCGAGGCCTGGGCTTGCCTTGAGGCCGTCATGAGACGTGTGTAGCACCGTCCCTCATGCAATGCACGACACACGCAGAGAAAAGACAGGTCGGCGGGTGTGTTCGCTCGCTATCGCGATCAGTGATGTGTAAACACGATGCTGATCTTGTGCGAGCGCCTAGAATCTTCTAATATGGAAGACGATTGGCAAGCTCGAAGTACTCAACGCTTCCACCAGAAACACCAACAGAATAGACAGTATATGCTGACGTTCCGAACGACTGCGTGTCAAGAATTCTCGAAAGAACCTTCACCAGATAGGTTACGTATCGAGAGCTACAAGCCATGTGGTAGGTACATGTTGCGTTGAGACTGCAGTCCAGCATACCAGAATTGATCGAACCCAGACAGATTTTGTCATTACGAGCGCTGGCCTATGGTCAACGCTACATGCATCGTTGTATCTACGTAAATAGGAATGCTCTGAACAGGCACCGTCTGTACCTTTAGAAGGCAGTCTAGTTGAAAGGATTTTACCTTTAGAAGGCAGTCTAGTTGAAAGGATTCGTCGTACTCCGGCAGGGTTCGCGAGTACATGGTGCCCCCAAGTGTAAGCTGGATGCCGACGAGGAAAAGGTCCAGCAGCAACGCCTGACTTTTCGACAATGATCCGCGAAAGTTAAGACGCAACGTGTCAGGGACTTGGTCTGAAGAATAGCTTGCAGGCGAGAAAGGATGGCATTCATGTCTGCACATGCATATACCAACAGTCTATTGCCACGTTTGGAGACAGGTTGAACGGACCGCCTCCCACTGTCCACATCAATAGTGCAACTTGTGACGCGTCCCCGTCAAGGCCGGCTATCTACATAAGCACCGTTACTTGTGTGGAAATAGTCCGTTCTCCGAGGAGCCCATCATTCGTTAGTTTCTTTTCGTCATCTCCTATATTCACGGTTGCTCGCGGTTTCTGCCTATACTGCTGTACTGTAAGACGATGTAGTGCTTCTCTAATTGAAGAGTTCCGGTCCGGGATCGCATATTTTGTATGGTAGAGCCTAAAACCTCACCGCCAATATAATGCATTTGTTGTGCCGCTTCATGCCGGCATGCATAAGGGTGGCCGAGCCAAAGTTCCAGAAGCAGCAAAGTATGAGACACACGCCAATCGCTGTCATGCCTCGCCCGAACCCTTGCGCAAGGTGGATATTGCCCGCTATGATGCATCCCGCAATAAACAAGTACAGCGATGCCAGGTAGCGAATGGGGTAGAGCGCCTTGGAGAAGAGCTCAAGGTTCTGGTTTGTGCACTGAGGGCACCCGGCGACAGAGTCGCACAAGGAGCAAACGAACGCATGCGGAATTCGATGTAAGCACATATGTATCTGGTATCATGTCATTTCTACAATGTATCAATCGTAAAAGGGTAGCGTCAGTCCTGGAACTTGCAAATAATTTATTCTCAAGGGCATACGTGATGGTACATGGTGCGCATCAGCGTTGGGCTAAGTCTCTCCGCTTGCGGCTGTCAATTCTCTCGATCCTTAAGGGTTGCAGGAGACATGATCTTACCATATGCTTCACTATACTTTTAGATGCGTTGCAAAGGGACGGGCGTTGGATAACACATGATACGAACGATCAGGGTATGTGTTGGATCGCCGACGGTTTGAAAACATACCGAGATGGATCCGATCTTTTCACAACTGCCACCAGGAACTACGGAACTAGCCAAAACACACATACAAAAACACGGGAACACCAGACAACGCTGCGTCGTTGTCTTACACCCCCAGTGTATCTCACCATCTTTTCATCCTTGGGACAGGGATCCCAGCGTGGTAACTACGAATTGCCTTTTAATCTCTCTTGCATCTGGGAACGATCGATGGTCGGGATGTCGGGATGTCAGACATGCGTACAAGAAAATGTAACCGTCAAAGAGTTGGTTGCCGCGGGATGTGCACTGCCCCCCTCGCTCCATGTTGCGTTCGTCTCATCTGTCGACCCCCTGCTCGATCGGGGCTCGCGCGGGCCACGCGCGCAAAAGCAACACCCTGAGCCCACACAACCAAACGACGAGCACACACACACGGAAGCAGCCCTATTTTGCTGTAGGGAGGCGGGGAGAGAAGCGGCAGCCCAGATTGCGCGTGATTTCTAGAGGAGGTCTCCGTATTCGAGGGGGGCTTATTTCTGGACGTTAGGTGTTGGGAGTGGGCTTGGAGCGAGGTAGCCGCAGAGGGATTCAGGATTGGCGCCTTGCTTGAACCTGTGGGTGCGGGAGCCACCATGTCCGACGAAGCCGCACAGATCAATGTCTTGAGGCAAGCCCTCGCGGCTACCCAATCCACGGATGCCGACCAACGAAAGCAAGGTGATTTCTTGATCCACGAAAAGGCGTAGAGGACATGACTGTTGGACAGGCGCCCCATCGCCGTTGATGCCGGCCACGGTGGTATTGCTGCTGTAGCTTCTTTGCCTTTGGCTTGGCGATGACTTGATTACCCTTCCAGTAGCCTTGATCCTGTGGCTCAATCGTGACGGAGTTGCTTTGCTATGATGGGTTTCAAAGCGCAGCAACCGCTGTAAAGGAAGTGGCCTGGAATGGATGCCCACTCGGGAATATCATGTTTTTTGAACAGAACCTGCGGTCGCACCAGTGGGTAAATCACCAACGTGATTGCGTGCATTTTCACCTCCGCTTACCCAATAGGACAAGCTGCGTGGAATGCCCCCCACTTCGTCAGCGACGCGTCTGAACAGCATAAATACGCGAGGGAATCACAATTGCGCCTAATAATACCGCTGGGCGGCCTATCTATTGAAGGACTATGACGTAAGACAACACCCCCCCATCGCGCTACGTAGAAGGTGCCTTTTGAAGAGAACCTGTTCATATATCAAAAGCACTTGGTTGCGTATCAAGTAAGTTCGTTCCTTGACATCAGTGGGGGAGGGTGTAGCGATGTTTTATTTTGTCTGGAAAATTTCTCGTCGCATGTTGCTTTTTGGTTTTTTTCGCTCACGGTGCAACACTCTTCGTACATTCTGATGTTTTCTTCCTCAAGATCGTAGAAGCCAAAACGCCAATACCGATCGAATGGATAAGAAAATCCACCACAGGTGCGGGAACCACGAAGTTTTCGCGTTCCGCTATTTGGGCATGCTTTCAGGTCACCCGAACGAATACACCATGCGAGGATTGTGGGAAAATTCTTAAGAGGCGACGCAGATTAGAACTCTTTCATTGTGTCCAAATGCTACGTGTGTAAACATTGCCGTGCGTGTACAGACGGGACAATTCACAGAAGGCAAACTCTCAATAGCGCACGGTTTTCAAGTCCAACGACTACCTGTTGTGGCGAAGAATGGAATCATCGGCCTCCTCATGTCATCTATTTTAATTGCTTGTTATAGACATGGAGCAAGATTATGAGCTCCTTCTCTCCTATCCTATCGTATGTAGTCTCATCAAGAGGTCTCGTCGGTCCAAAAGTCTGTGCATTGCCTCCTTCGCTATGAAAAATCTACCGGTCACATGTGCTTCTTTGTAAAAGCCCCAAGGAAAGCAATCACGTGCAGGATTAGAACATGCTTCAACGAGGTGACTACAACCTGCCAGAACCTTTCATCCCCTGCACCCCGCCGCCCCACCGAATCCCCGCGCGCACGCACGTCCGAACGAACTCCCAGCCGAAGCTTTCTTGAAAAGCATGGAGCAGCAGCCCACGTACGCCCAGCGGTTGGTGGGAGTGATAGAGGCACACTGCGCAGGAACTACCGTCGAGGACAAGACTATGCGCACGCTCGGGGCCGTAGTGTTCAAGAACCTCGTCAAGGAAAAGTGGGCCCCGGAGGTAGGTCGGTGGGGGTACGGCACCGCGAGGGTCACAGGGGGGGGGGGGGGG